CATCAGACACACCACTCATGTGATCAGAAGCGCCAAATTCTATGATCCAGGGACTGCTATTGGAGGACAATAAACACGTAGAAGCAATACCTGACTGGATAGGAACTAGACATACTCCTCTCGAGTAATAGTAACCAATACAGTGTCTTGCTTGGGTTCCATAACAGTGCAACAAATAGCAAAACGAAAAGCACTAAATCACTGAACAGGACAAGAATCACCGACTGCATTGCTGAACCAAACCAAAGGAGCCCACGGGATCACTGAACCAGCCTGAACCGGTCTAAAACTTACTGAACCGGCCTGAACTAGTCTAAGAAAACCTGCTGAAAGTCTGAACCGGACAGGAAATAGGTGTTGTACTACTAAACCGATGCGAACCGGGTCTGAACCGGACCTCTGAACCCGTTGGACCGCTAAACCAGACCACTGAACCGGNCCAAGTGGCTGCTCCATGTAAACCTCTTTAATCAAGTCACCATGTAGGAAAGCATTCTTGATGTCTAACTGAAACAAGGGTTAATCAAGATTAGCAGCCAAAGAGATCAAGATACGAACAGAGGAAATTTTGTCAACAGGAGAAAAAGTCTCCTCATAATCAACACCATAAGTCTGAGTAAAGCCCTTTGCAATAAGTCGGGCTTTAAGACGCTTCACAGAACCATCTGGATGAAATTTAACAGTATACACCCAACGACAGCCAACAGTTCATTTACCAGGGGTAAAGGAACGAGATCCCAAGTCCCATTATGATGTAAAACATCCATCTCCTCTTTCATAGCTTTCCTCTAACCCGGATCAGATAAGGCATCCTATAAATGCTTAGGAATAGATATAGCAGATAATTGGGAAGTAAAACAGGAGAAGACAAGAGACAAGATATCATATGAAACAAAATGAAAAATAGGATGATTAGTAACACATGAACGAGTACCTTTACAAAGAGCAATAGGTAAAAAGTATAAATTACTTGATGTACCAGGATCAGAAGGCAGCAAGGAAGACGGTACGGGCACCTCAGTCGATGGGCGAGGACGGCGAGAGTGGACATGGAGAGGTAAAGTAGATGGTAACACAATGGGCAGCAAAATGTTTGAAGATGAGGAAAGAGATGGGGGTACAGGAGATGATCCAAAGGCTGAGAAGGTGCTGGAAAGTGANGGAGAGGTAAAGTAGATGGTAACACAGTGAGCAGCGGAATGTCTGAAGATGAGGGAAGAGATGGTGGTACAGGAGATGATCCAAAGTCTAGATCCATAGGCTGAGAAAGTGTTGGAAAGTATGGAACAGATTCTTCAAACGTGACATCGACACTAGTAAAGTATCGGTGCAGAGAAGGACTGTAACAACGATATCCCTTCTGCGTGCGGGAGTAACCAAAAAATACACATTTGGTAGCTCGAGAGTCAAGTTTATCATACCCAAGACCCAAATTGTGAACATAACAAACACATCCAAAAATCTGAGTCGTCAGGAAAAATAAGGGCTTACCAGGAAAAATGATAGAATATGGACTTTGCCCATTTAACACAGAGGATGACATACGATTAATAAGATGACAAGCAATAAGAACATCACTCCAAAAATATCAGAAAATATTCATCTGAAATAACAGGGCACGGGTGACTTCCAACAAATGACGGTTCTTGCGTTCAACAACACCATTTTGTGGAGAGGTGTAAGCACAAGAAGTCTGATGAATAATGTCAGTTTTACTAAGATAAGCAGAAAAATGATCAAATTTATATTCCCGAGCATTATCAAAACGTAAAATACAGATACGATACCCATACTGAGTTTTTATTTCCTTATGAAATGTCTCAAATACAGAGAATAATTCAAACCGACCTTTCATCAGAAACAACCAAGTTACACGAGAATATTCATCCACAAATGACACAAAATAAGGATATTTATTAGATAAAATATTCTTTATTGGACCCCATACATCAGAATGTACCAACTCAAATGGACTAGACACACGATTATTGACTCGAGACTGAAATAACACACGATGATGCTTACTTAGTTGACAAGTTTCACAAGACAAAGATGACACAAAACTAAGACTGGGAACCTGCGCTTCAGATTCTGGAGAGAGAGATGTCCAAGACGACAATGCCACTGAAAAGAAGACAATGAGGTCTGTAAAGCCTGAGTAGGTGAATCAAAATCAAAGTAATATAAGCCACCAGCTTCATGCCCCGTACCAATCTTGCTCTTCGTCTTAAGATCCTGAAAGACACAATAAGATGGATAAAGTATTACTGAACAATTGAGAGAACGGGTAATCTTGTTAATGAAAAGTAAACTAAAAAGAAACTGAAGAACAAATAATACGGAAGATAGGGACATATCAAGACTCAAGTTAGTAGTTCTAAAACCTGAAACTTTAGAACAAGTGTCATTAGCAAGAGTAACACTACGTGTGGAGGTAGCAGACTGATAAGTAGAAAAAACATCAGACACACCACTCATGTGATCAGAAGCGCCAAATTCTATGATCCAGGGACTGCTATTGGAGGACAATAAACACGTAGAAGCAATACCTGACTGGATAGGAACTAGACATACTCCTCTCGAGTAATAGTAACCAATACAGTGTCTTGCTTGGGTTCCATAACAGTGCAACAAATAGCAAAACGAAAAGCACTAAATCACTGAACAGGACAAGAATCACCGACTGCATTGCTGAACCAAACCAAAGGAGCCCACGGGATCACTGAACCAGCCTGAACCGGTCTAAAACTTACTGAACCGGCCTGAACTAGTCTAAGAAAACCTGCTGAAAGTCTGAACCGGACAGGAAATAGGTGTTGTACTACTAAACCGATGCGAACCGGGTCTGAACCGGACCTCTGAACCCGTTGGACCGCTAAACCAGACCACTGAACCGGACCGGACCGGGTTTTGGGCTAGACCGAGTTTGTCAGCTGAACCCGCTGGACCACTTTAAAACCTAGTCTTGGGCTGGACCACTTTTAAGACCTGGCCTTGGTTTGGATCTAATCCAGATTCGACCCTAGCTCCTTCTTCTTCGCTGAATAGGGTTCCCTTAGAACCCTCTGGTCTTCGACGGCGCCAGACAGCACCCTGACCACCACAGCCACAGCACCACCACGATCGATCACGCCACCACTTCGACTGCACCTCAACCACCACACCGAACGACAGACCACCTAAAAATGGACACCACAACGACGCTACACCACAATGGAGAAATCACACTATACCACCACCACTACACTACCACGGCGAACACCAAACAAAGGTAGACAATGACCAACAGTACCACACCACCAACAACGACGACAAACGATGGTCAACAGTACAACGCCACCACCACTAGCGACAATACCACCAACGAATCAACCACCACAACTGTATCACCACCACCACTGTAGTTCGACGATTCAACGATACATAGCCACAACAACTGTACCACCACCACCGGTATGGTTAATTTATTCAAAAAACATATATTTAGGATTAAACTTGATCTGATACTATGTTAAGTTTAGAGGANACTACGTGTGGAGGTAGCAGACTGATAAGTAGAAAAAACATCAGACACACCACTCATGTGATCAGAAGCGCCAAATTCTATGATCCAGGGACTGCTATTGGAGGACAATAAACACGTAGAAGCAATACCTGACTGGATAGGAACTAGACATACTCCTCTCGAGTAATAGTAACCAATACAGTGTCTTGCTTGAGTTCCATAACAGTGCAACAAATAGCAAAACGAAAAGCACTAAATCACTGAACAGGACAAGAATCACCGACTGCATTGCTGAACCAAACCAAAGGAGCCCACGGGATCACTGAACCAGCCTGAACCGGTCTAAAACTTACTGAACCGGCCTGAACTAGTCTAAGAAAACCTGCTGAAAGTCTGAACCGGACAGGAAATAGGTGTTGTACTACTAAACCGATGCGAACCGGGTCTGAACCGGACCTCTGAACCCGTTGGACCGCTAAACCAGACCACTGAACCGGACCGGACCGGGTTTTGGGCTAGACTGAGTCTGTCAGCTGAACCCGCTGGACCACTTTAAAACCTAGTCTTGGGCTGGACCACTTTTAAGACCTGGCCTTGGTTTGGATCTAATCCAGATTCGACCCTAGCTCCTTCTTCTTCGCTGAATAGGGTTCCCTTAGAACCCTCTGGTCTTCGACGGCGCCAGACAGCACCCTGACCACCACAGCCACAGCACCACCACGATCGATCACGCCACCACTTCGACTGCACCTCAACCACCACACCGAACGACAGACCACCTAAAAATGGACACCACAACGACGCTACACCACAATGGAGAAATCACACTATACCACCACCACTACACTACCACGACGAACACCAAACAAAGGTAGACAATGACCAACAGTACCACACCACCAACAACGACAACAAACGATGGTCAACAGTACAACGCCACCACCACTAGCGACAATACCACCAACGANGATTACATGTGAATTGATATGGCTAAAGAATTTATTGTATGAGATTGGCATTCTAGTAACTTTTCCAATGCAATTATTTGTGTAATAATTAGGCTGCAGTTCATATTGCTTCGAATCCAATTTTTCACGAACGAATAAAACATATTGAGATTGGTTGCTATTTTGTTCGTGAAAAGCTTCTGTCTAAGGAGATTACTACTTGTTTTGTACATTTTGCATATTAGTTGGCAGATATTTTCACCAAATCACTTAGAAGAGATAAAATTGGTATTCTTTGTTCCAAGCTAAGGACTATTTGATATCTTTAGTCCAGCTTGAAGGGGAGTATTAGTGAGTTAGGGGCAATAGGGTCATTACCCTAATTCCATATGTGCAACTATATAACTCTCTCTATGATGAATTGAGTTTAATTTTTCTCTTCCTATTCAATTAGTCTCTCTCTCTATACTGTTAACAAATATAAATAATTTTGAATTATTACCTCAGTTTATTAACACATATGCAAGAAATCCTTCACTTGCAATACGCTAAACTGCAAGTCTTTGCTGCAAGATTTCCCTCTCCTCCAATGCTAGTCTCTTGTGAAGTCTATGTTGGTGATCCACAAACTCCACAAATAAGTCCCTTAATCTCTTTGCTGTCCTGAATTCTCCGGTTCCTGAATGAACGACCCTTAATTCATTCTCAATGTTTGTATTTTGAATTTCATACTGCAGAAGTAAAAGCCAAAAATCAATTTTGGATGATACACAAACAACAATCATATTTAGATTTCAACAAGTTGTCTCACCCGGCCATTCAATTAATAGAGTTATTTGCTAAAAAATTTACTTTTTATAATGAAATTCAGTTTATTATTATTTAATAAAAGTTCTTTATTTTCTATTGAGAATTTGTATAAATGTTTGTATTATATTAAATTTATGCTATGCATGTGTCTTTTTTTATATAGTAGATAATCTGGTGTGTAAAGTTTGACATATACATAGAAAATCAAATTATCAAATCCCTATATGATATGAGTAAAGGTTCCCAATCTTAGATGGAATTGAACACACTATCAATAGGATTGTAATGCAATCTTCTGGCATAATCTAACTTACCTATAGGAAACTGTTTGATATCTCATATGTAGCACTAGTATATTTTGTGTATTGAACATGACCATTATTGAGGTTATTTTCTTTTTATGACTAAATAAGAAAATAAATACCTCATAATTATTATGATTGCTTAAACTCTTGATCTTGAGATATTTAAAGGACACATGCATATAATAATTATTAATTTAATTCGTAAAAGAGTGAAACTCATATTTGAGTCAACAAACTCAATGAATTGGGAGATGATATTATTTGTATGGTGAAAATTAATTATTAAAAAAAAATTACGTCCCAATATTTAAATGGGTTGATGATATCTCATCGAGGAAGCTCATAAGTTTTGTCCATGTCAAACCGTGCAGGCAAATTTAATTATCCGACATGACAAATAAATTGAGTGGTAAGATATCAAGGATAAAAAATAGTCAATTAAATATAATTGTCAGGAATTTAATTAATTGACGGATATCTGTAATCTTAAACATAGGGAGATTATTAAGCATATAATAATGAAGAAGTCGAAATATAATTTTGAAAGAAGATCCAGGAAATTAATAATAAGTTTTTAGTGGTTAACTAATTATTAATGGACCATAGAATGTTAGTTCAGGGTTAGACATAAGATTCCTAGGCCCATTGAAAGTCCAACTCTTATTTCTCCTTAAGGTCTTTACTGTAGCCTATAAATAAACGCACTGCCTCATTCTCTCTGTCATAACCTTTATCTTTACATTTAGAAGAGACAAAGAAAGAGAACGAGAAAATTCGAAGAATTGCAACCCACATTGCATTCGAATTTTAGTGTGGACATACGGTAAAAGATAGTGAGGTCTATCGAGCCTGCTATTCGATTTGCATCTGTTCTTCGTTCATGCGAATCTGCTCATCAAAGGTAAATCCTAATTCTACCTTATAGGGTTAATAGACTGGAATTTTTTTTTGTTTTCGATTATACTTGTTTGTCAACGAACCTTGGGACTACCGTTCCAACACTATAATGTCCCAAAGCCTACCTTAAATCTTTCTCGCCACAATTTTTCATTTCATTTGCTTTCTTATAACTGGAAGAGTTTTGCTAAGAAATGGCTAAATAAGTGATTTGGTAAGTAACCAAAATTATTTGCTTTGGGGCAAGCTTAACTTACACGGTAGAANGTAAGATATCAAGGATAAAAAATAGTCAATTAAATATAATTGTCAGGAATTTAATTAATTGACGGATATCTGTAATCTTAAACATAGGGAGATTATTAAGCATATAATAATGAAGAAGTCGAAATATAATTTTGAAAGAAGATCCAGGAAATTAATAATAAGTTTTTAGTGGTTAACTAATTATTAATGGACCATAGAATGTTAGTTCAGGGTTAGACATAAGATTCCTAGGCCCATTGAAAGTCCAACTCTTATTTCTCCTTAAGGTCTTTACTGTAGCCTATAAATAAACGCACTGCCTCATTCTCTCTGTCATAACCTTTATCTTTACATTTAGAAGAGACAAAGAAAGAGAACGAGAAAATTCGAAGAATTGCAACCCACATTGCATTCGAATTTTAGTGTGGACATACGGTAAAAGATAGTGAGGTCTATCGAGCCTGCTATTCGATTTGCATCTGTTCTTCGTTCATGCGAATCTGCTCATCAAAGGTAAATCCTAATTCTACCTTATAGGGTTAATAGACTGGAATTTTTTTTTGTTTTCGATTATACTTGTTTGTCAACGAACCTTGGGACTACCGTTCCAACACTATAATGTCCCAAAGCCTACCTTAAATCTTTCTCGCCACAATTTTTCATTTCATTTGCTTTCTTATAACTGGAAGAGTTTTGCTAAGAAATGGCTAAATAAGTGATTTGGTAAGTAACCAAAATTATTTGCTTTGGGGCAAGCTTAACTTACACGGTAGAAGGATGACTAGTGTTACATCCCTCTATCATCCGTAAAACTCAACTTCATCTATCCAAATCATTTTGTATCATGAATGCCAGATGTAAGTCCATGAGGCATAATTGTCCAATCCATGAAATTTTCTTAATATAATATTAGCATGATTTCAATGAGACAGTTCTAAATCTTGAATTAATTTGGTTTTAGCATATATAGTAAATATGAGAAAAACATTTAATCCATTATGACTATGGATTCATGATATTGAAACCTCAAATACTGTATAATTAAAGACTTCCTAAGGATTGTTATAGTGTCGCTAGATTAAATAAAAAATTTAGTATAATCAACCAAAGAGGAGTTTTGGTTCTAATCTTTTCTTCTAAGTAGGGATCCCATCATATGACCATCTCAAATCCTTAATTGCAATGTGGGAGCATCTTCTTATCATCCTGCATATTGGTTCCAAATTTTCAAAAGATTGGTACAAAGGTTACCTGAGATTTTGGCATCAAGCCCCCAAGACCCATTTTAAAAGTTCCATGCTTTACTGATTTTTCAGTTATGACCCACGGCCTGCAGAAAATGAAAGAAAACGAATACTATCAACCCATTGAACTATTGATCTGAATCAAAAAAAGAGCCATTGAACAGACTAAAACGCTAAGCATTTGAAAGTAGCAATATCAGAGAGAGCCTAATACTTGTAGAGAAAGTTGCAACAGATAAGTACTTATAGTCTAGAACAAATACTTAACAAATGCAGGAATGTGTTTGTTTTGTACCGGGGGTCCTCNGTTAGTTCAGGGTTAGACATAAGATTCCTAGGCCCATTGAAAGTCCAACTCTTATTTCTCCTTAAGGTCTTTACTGTAGCCTATAAATAAACGCACTGCCTCATTCTCTCTGTCATAACCTTTATCTTTACATTTAGAAGAGACAAAGAAAGAGAACGAGAAAATTCGAAGAATTGCAACCCACATTGCATTCGAATTTTAGTGTGGACATACGGTAAAAGATAGTGAGGTCTATCGAGCCTGCTATTCGATTTGCATCTGTTCTTCGTTCATGCGAATCTGCTCATCAAAGGTAAATCCTAATTCTACCTTATAGGGTTAATAGACTGGAATTTTTTTTTGTTTTCGATTATACTTGTTTGTCAACGAACCTTGGGACTACCGTTCCAACACTATAATGTCCCAAAGCCTACCTTAAATCTTTCTCGCCACAATTTTTCATTTCATTTGCTTTCTTATAACTGGAAGAGTTTTGCTAAGAAATGGCTAAATAAGTGATTTGGTAAGTAACCAAAATTATTTGCTTTGGGGCAAGCTTAACTTACACGGTAGAAGGATGACTAGTGTTACATCCCTCTATCATCCGTAAAACTCAACTTCATCTATCCAAATCATTTTGTATCATGAATGCCAGATGTAAGTCCATGAGGCATAATTGTCCAATCCATGAAATTTTCTTAATATAATATTAGCATGATTTCAATGAGACAGTTCTAAATCTTGAATTAATTTGGTTTTAGCATATATAGTAAATATGAGAAAAACATTTAATCCATTATGACTATGGATTCATGATATTGAAACCTCAAATACTGTATAATTAAAGACTTCCTAAGGATTGTTATAGTGTCGCTAGATTAAATAAAAAATTTAGTATAATCAACCAAAGAGGAGTTCTGGTTCTAATCTTTTCTTCTAAGTAGGGATCCCATCATATGACCATCTCAAATCCTTAATTGCAATGTGGGAGCATCTTCTTATCATCCTGCATATTGGTTCCAAATTTTCAAAAGATTGGTACAAAGGTTACCTGAGATTTTGGCATCAAGCCCCCAAGACCCATTTTAAAAGTTCCATGCTTTACTGATTTTTCAGTTATGACCCACGGCCTGCAGAAAATGAAAGAAAACGAATACTATCAACCCATTGAACTATTGATCTGAATCAAAAAAAGAGCCATTGAACAGACTAAAACGCTAAGCATTTGAAAGTAGCAATATCAGAGAGAGCCTAATACTTGTAGAGAAAGTTGCAACAGATAAGTACTTATAGTCTAGAACAAATACTTAACAAATGCAGGAATGTGTTTGTTTTGTACCGGGGGTCCTCTCCCAGTGACCATCAGAGACTAAAATGAAAAGGTATCTGGTGTCCACCTTTAAAGGGGTTCAGTTTGTATGCCTATTTGTGACAACAAAAAAATCTGTAGGCACCCGATTGAAACAAAATGACATTATAATATGGGGATGACACACAAAGAAACACACATCCCTTTTCAACATCCTGACTTGGCACTTGGCAGTATGAACTGCTTACACTCCTCATCCAGCTCACTCCAAAAATTCCTGGCCTATAATTTTCTTATATACTTGGACCTATCACCATTCACTCAACAATCAATCTTTGAGTCATGCTACTGTCAACTTGTGAAAGGCGCCAATTATGTAACAATTGCTAACTTCATTGTTTTCATCTTCAAGAGGTAACGAATCATGTAAATCTATGTAACTGCCTCTCATTAGGCAATCATGTAGCCTTTGCATATAATCAGATTAAAGAAATGAACAATATATCATTACAGATTATTATGGAAAAAAGAGTTGGTCAAGCCTCAGTAGTAACCCTTTAGGCTTCCTAGGCAGCTATCCAATCAACGTGCGACGTAGAATCTTTTATTTTGCAAAATATGCCAAAACACTGATTCTAACTATGTCCTGACTCCTAACATTGCTATGCATCACTTGTCTGTTGAACTGATAGAAATAATAAAGTGACATCCTTTAGAGTAAGGGAATAAAACAAAAATGAATTTAAGTACACAGCAGGTAATCAAAATCCAGCAACAATAACACATATCAACCATATAACCACTGTTCTAGCTAGAACAAATGCAATTATCACTTTTTATCTAAACTTTAAACAACCACCTTGATTGACCAAAACTCATTTGTAAGATTAAATCACAGAATACTATTACCAGGCGGTGATTTGGATCATAAAATATAAGAAACACCAATAACATCTGGAATTATAGTTTTATATAATTTTTATCTATTTATGATATACAAATATAGAGAGAAACATATATATAGAGCGAGAGAGGTAAGGAGGGAGAAAGAGAATGCCCCTCCAATCGAGCTAGGATTATAGCATATAAATGAGTGTTACTGGGTGGGTGCATTAAATGGGAGTGACAGGGTTCGAATCTCTTCAACCTGGCTTCATAAAATTTGTGGATAGAATTTTGGTGACTCATTTTTCAGTGTGATCTGGCCCATGCAAAGGTCTGCTTTGCAGGATTACCGATTCAACTGGCCAAATCAGTTTTGTAAAACACCAGCGGCATGATAGAAGCTGGTCTACAGTCTCTCATATTAAGGTTCAACCAAAACCTTTACACTTGCATTAACAATCTTTTGGAAGAGCGGATAGTCTAACAAACCACAGTGGGTCCAATGCATAGGGCATTGCTAACTAACTCTATCAAGTACCAACTTTGGCATGCAGCAGGAATGCCAAATGGATTACTTTCGTTTTTCTTAGCTGAACTCACAAAAAATGCTTATAGGCATGCAATATGGAAGGTCTAGTAAAATTTTCATCTCTTTCCCTAATTTGAGGTAAAATTAAGAAAGACTTGCACTTCATTTAAACTTGATAATTGAAAAAACAATTCAACTTGAAAACAAATTGATAGATTGAGAGGGAACCAACATTCAATGCGTGCCATGCATCAACAAGCCAAAACAAATAGCTATGTCTAATGGTAACACAATTATCCCAATGAAACAATCATAAAACCAAAAAAGGGAAGAAGTTGGATACATTCTGAATAACGATTGTAAGCTACAGTATTGCAGTGATAAAGCATACCTTCCCCTTGAAGACAATATAATGTGATCAGGATTATTTAAAAACTCATTTATCTTGCAAAGCTCCTTTTTGCAATCTAACACAATGGCTCCCCTTGTATAGGACTCCATTGACAAACTTGGGAAAACGTATGCTAGTGGTGAGACAGAAGTTTGTTTATGGATGAATTCCATGATAGATGAAGGGGACAAGTCTTTCTCTATGTTCTCAATTAGTATGAAATAGTGAATTCGCGGATTTTTAATAGAATTCATGTCAATATAATTGCCTCCCAAATCTCTATCATGATCCTGTTGACATATTTTGCGAACCTTCCCTGCCATTCAGTGAAAGAAGTTATAAAATTAGAGAAAACAAACCATAAAATTCTTCATATCTAAGAGCAGCCTTAATTAGTTTTTATAGAATTTAAGAACGAACCAACCTTCAGCTTTCCCCACCAAACTGCCAAACTGCCCGGCACTCTCCTCCTATATGACAAAGCAGGCATACCTTGAAGCCTACATTAGCATGCATGCAATGACATTTCTATCTTTTAGAAAATCATAAACAGAATAACTTGCCTGAATTATACACTGAGATGAACTCGACTTTGGTTTGATGGTAGAGCAAATCTTTTCCTTATCACATTTACCTATCTTAGACAATGAAATGCCACCATCTGAGACTGAACTAGAATTTCGGGAACAGATTTCAAATTTCTCCTTTGCCATTCTTGAGAAAGAGGCCACTCTGGGATCAAGTGAAGCACTAGATTCAATAAGGCAAATATCTGCAATATTTGCTGGTGTCATCTCACCCCACTTGGGACCATGTTGCCAGAACAGCACAAAGGTGCACAAGCACTCCTCTTCTTCATTCACAAATGAATGTTTGCTATTGTGCACCTATCAAATTCAGGACCAAACAACATTGGGAAACTGTAAACTCCCCATCCTAATTTAATGCTTCAGAATCTAAGAACAGCTACATGTAGATTTGACATAAAGTTCCCAATTACAATTAAACAAATTTGGTCGCTAGTATTGATTTCTTTATATCAATACTAGCGGCCACCTGCAAGGAATTTACAATGTCTCTCCACAGTCACATCTTACCTTATCTCTGTCACCCCCACGCCCACGCCACCCCAATATTATTAAAAAGTTATCTATTAATTTGCTAAATTGAATTTTTTTAAAAAATAATGGAAAGAAATTACTAAATATGGTAAACAAATTCAAATGTCAACTCCTTAACATTTAACAATCATGATTGAAGTAGTCACTTAGAGTGTCTCTAACAGAACATGTAACACTTCAAGATAACTAAAATTTAGCTAACCAAAGACAAAAATTATCCTCCGACAAAATATGTTCAAATACTCTAAAATAGCTTTTTGCTACGGTTATACTCAAAATATAGAACATCAATGTAGTAACTTGTATAAATACTTTATAATTTTTTTTCTCTCCAACTATCCTTTCCGACCTCTCTTGTCCACTCTTTATCTTTCTCACCATTCTTTCTCTCCCCCTCCAACAATCCCAACAAAAGTACAAAATATGTGAAATAATAAATATTTAAAAGTAGTAGTTAAAATATAAAAAATTTGATGGAGTGTGTATTAAAAAAGTGAATAACTAAAATAAAAAAAGTGTACTTTTAGATAGCTAAAATACAAAATTTTAGTGGAGAAACCCATTTAAATACTTCGAAATTATGAAAATGTAGAATTTGAAGAGAGAAGTCTTCTCAAATTATCTCCCATGAAATTTGATACTTTTATAATCGTATAGATATAAATACATCTCCCAAATTGTCACACCTCTCATTATTCTAAAATCAATAGCTGATTTCTACGTTTCAAAATTTCCATTAATTTTGAAACAAAACAGAAAAGGCGGAACTGATTTCAACGAGCAAACGTATAAGACAAGAAACAATCACATTTACAAATTTTCGAACAAGATTATACATCGATAACTTTTTGAGCTTTGAAAATGAAAAAACTAGTACGGAAATTATATAAAATTGTAATTTCCTCTTGTCATCTTCTCAGGTGCCAAACACAGACTATTAAACCACTCACCGCCTCGACAACAGCGTCGTAGAAGCGAATATCGTCCTCTTTCAACTTAAACAAGGCACAGACAGTCAGGCCTTCGACGAGTCGCGAGCAATGGCTGTCCTGTAACTGCTCCGATATCTGTCGGAACCTCTGCACGAACTCGTCTACGTCCTCCGGAGTCTTGAAATCGGCGGCATTGAACTTCTCGTCGACAGAATCCGGAAAATCACAGAGCTTCACAGTCATCGTGTCGTTTTCTACCACCACTCGTGCGCTGTACCACGCGTCATCTGCGGTGGATCTGAACTCCAGGTCGTACACCGAACCGTCGCCAAAAACAGACATTTTGACGTCGTGGCGGTGGCGGTCAGTATGAAAATTACAGAGAGTGTACATGTCTCATACCCGTATCCGTATATTTACTCTGCAGCAGAGAGAGAGAGAGAGAGAGAGAGAGAGACTCATCGACTTTCGCTGGGTTGGCTCGAAATTTTACCCAATTTTGGAAGATGCCGGACGCATCACGAAATTCAAATGACGATTATTATTATTATTATTATTATCTTTACTTTTTATAGTTGATCAGGGCGTTTGGACCGTCTTATAAATTTTCACGCACTTCGATTTGTTCTCGATTCAATTAAAAACAGATCTCTTATCCTGAGAATAACGATATTCAACTTTTTTTTTCATTTTTTTTGTATGATATTCTTGAAAACTCTAAGGTATTATTAAGATTTAAATTCAATAAGTTTAAATTTATAATTCTTTGTCTATCACCACTTAAGTTATCCTTTAACATTAAATGACAAATTTTGGTATGCTCCAGATGATGAGAATAATCTATCGTTAAAGGGGTGTAATTCGGATAATTTGGACGGGGGTGTAATTTAGACAATTTGGACAGGTCGAGAGCTCAAGTACAAATTTTATTGAAAATATAAAACTTTTAGCCCTAAGTCAAATTTTAATTTGAGCAACTTCAACTCGAGTCGACCGTGATTAATTTTTGAAATTGATTGAACTCAAGTTACCTAATTGAGGTTGTAATTCAGATTGAAATTAGGTTTTTCATTCATTTAAATCAAATTGAACAAAAAACTAAGGCTTACTAAATTAGAAAACAAAAATGGCCAAATTTCACATGGCTTCAAAATAAATAATTATCATACACCTTTACATTTTTTATTTCAAATTTTCAAGTTTCGGGTTAAATCCAATTTCATAACTTTGTTCCGAGTAGATATTGAACTCGTCAATCTGCATCCCCAATTCGAGTATGGGCCAAATTTAATTTGAATTTTAACCCAAGTATTAAATGTCTTAGATTGAGTTCATGTTAGCCCACCTAAATTACATCCCTATCTATCATATGGTTTTCATAGTATAGCTAATTTTGGACTAAAATTTACTGTTTGAATTGTGATCCAAATTCAAAAAATCGTAATCCACTAAAGTTTTGTAAGAGTTTAGAAATATTGATTGTCTTTTTCTACTAGCAGCCCTGCTCAGCTCCTTTTTTTTTTTATTATTATTATTATAAAAACAAACAAAAAAATACATACATATTTTATCCAACATTATATTAGAGTCCAACTCAGCTCGATGATCCATCAGTAACTTGAATTAAGCATGAGTCAGATGCAATAGATTGTGGCCCAACTCGAACAGCTGATCAACCACGTCAGCATCCAGACTTGGGCTTGGATTATTGCTGAGTGAGCAATCCTGACCCATAGACCAATTAAAGGCTTGCAGTCCACGGGCTTTGATAGGATTGGCAGTCAACCCGTTTACAGCCTGTGACCGAGACTGGGCTAGAGCCCAAAGTATTAGTTGGTGGGCCAACCCGGCCGTCAAAAGAGTGACTCTTTGAATCAGTGTTACCAGAACTGAACTGGACTAGACTGATTGATCGAACGGGTTGAACCGTGAACCAAGATCTAAAAAGGTCCGATTCTTTGATTAGACCGCCTAAGGAATTGAACCGATAAAAAACCAAAAAACCGGCCAATTTTTTCCAAAACCGGTGAACCAAAAATTCCTAAAACCGATCGGTTCAAAACAATACTAGCCCATTTGTCTTCGTCTTCTCCGACTGGTTCAAAAAGATTTCAGCCCCTTTCTTCTTCGTCTCCAATGTTTCCAAATCTAACTCGAACACTCACCACACCACAGATCTCGACCTCTTTCTCAGCCATTGATATCCTCTTAAGCTTTGTTAGTCTTCTCCTCTTGCCTCTCTCTCTCTCTCTCTCCCTCGGGTTGCCAAAGATGGCGCATCTAAGTTTTACCTCTTCAGTCTTCCGTTTTATTTTTTTGCCTAATCTACAACCCAACTTCAACCTGGTTCCACTCTCTCTCTCTCTCCACGTGCACACACGATCAACCTGTACAGACATTCAACAGTCAAAAAACTCAGAATACTATACACAATAATTTTTATTATGATCTTAAATTTTTAACTAAATTATTATGTTGTATAATTTTTTTTTTATTTTTGACCAATTAACCCAACGGTTAAACACTGCTTTAGATTATGCTTGCCTGAGGTCATTGAGTAAGAAACAACCCAAATGATTTCAGATATTAGAGTGGGAAAACACTACCAAACTCTCTTTCACTTTTCGGTATCATACCCAAAATTTTAAAAAAAAAAAAAAACCAACAAATTCGTAAACTTTACCACAAAAATTGATAGATTTCACCAAAAAAAGTGGTGAGGTAACCCCCAACAATAGCTGGGAGAAGGTTATTCCAATGAAATTCGGGCCTTTTTCAAAGTCTTGTCATCCAGATTGGTTTTTGAACCAGCTTTTTACAACAATCACCAACTAGGAATGAAATCATTGAACAAAACCTGTTCACATGTGCATCTAAAACAGCATAGACCAGTATTCCGTGGACATAAAAATTAGGTTTAAGTTTAACATATATATATGTCTCGAATCCGGTACACTTTCAGAATAGAACTTTGGAATACTATTAGGATTTTCACTGATACAGCAGTCTATTGCATTACATATTTGGAACTGGAATGTATATTAATCAAACCCAAGGGGAGGGGGGAACGGTAACAGGGTAGGGTTCCACTCAAAACAAACCTCAAAGTTTCTCTGGAACTTAACAAGAAATATCTCTACCATACAGTTCAGTTATACCCTTTGAAGGATCATTCTGTTTCACAATAGACTCTCCAACCAACACCTGCCACGGTACAACAAGATAGTTTCAATCTAAATTGTATATACGAAGACCAGTGACAGATATATGTCGATAACTCTACAAAAATTGAGCTGACACATGGAACCAGATTACTCATTCAACATACAATTATATGAAAATGTATTACTATAGCAGCCAAGTTGGCAAACATATTATCCAAAATAAAATTAAGAATACTTAACGCTAAGTTACCACGTGTATTAATCTGTAGTTCTTAAATGTAAGAAGAGCGCATATCATCTTGACTTACTTTTGTTTCCTAAGACAACCCCAACCCAACTAAAAGTGAGACAGTTTTCAATGTGTATAAGCAGTGAGTGAAACACGGTGAGATCCCCAGATGAGTATTTTTCTATGGTTAGAACTACACTTCCATCTCAACAAGGACTGAAGCCTCCTTGCCCAAAGGAAGGACACGACGACGGAATCAATAACATATTGACTTCCACTTTTCATGTTCATTCAGTTGCATGAATTGAAAAATTAGCAAAGCTTACCGCTCTCACACCAGCTTCTTGAACATAGGCAATATCAGCAGGAGTAAAGAGCCCAGATTCACCAACCACCTAGTCAATTCAAAAGAGAATAGAAAATTTCAGTCAGTAGGGTCAGAATAATGTATGCATCTATCCTCTAACCATGAGACACACTAACATCATAAAAATAAGGTCTATGGCTCAATGGACAGGCATGCGACAGCTAACACCATCACTTACAATTATGTCTTTCTGACGGATCCGTTGCCCACGATCTCCTTCAAGCAGTTTTTTGGTGTTACTAATATCAACCTTAAATGTTTCTGCGCACAAAGAAAGTGAAATTTGTTGGCAACAAAGCTACGTTAATTGAAGCATACTTTGCAACTGATGATGCTTAAATGATGTTCATTTGTTCAATTTACGTACACGTTAGCTATAATCTTGATCACCCTTTATGGGAGTGACGTTGCAGAATTATACCTTAAGTAGTAT